AACTATAGCTAAAATTTAAAAATTCAATCACAAAATATCATCTTTAAGTACAAAAGTAGATATTATCTTGGCTGGGCTAGTTGTTAAGAGCTAAAAACTTAAGAAAATGAGTTGGTCCAGTGGTGTTGAGCATATGTTGACTATGTTAAATTTAAATATAATTAACTATAAATATGTATAAAGATAAATTAATAAATATAAATATTCATGTGTACATGTAAATAAATAAATAAATAAATTAGTATATATATTAAAAAAATGTATATATACTAAAGCCCGCCCATATGTTATTGTGGACCGGCCGGGCCAGGCAAGATGGGTAAATATATATGCCCAAACCCGCCTATTTGTGCGGGCGGGCCGGGCGGGCCGGCCCGGTTTTGTACAGATCTAGGAGAAAGGTAGAAATAAAATACATTTTAGATATCAATTTTCATATATCAGAATAAGCCAATACAATAACTTGAATCAAAACTTCATAAATTTCAGTAGAATAAACAAATACTCCGTACAATCAATTTGTGTATTACCAAACGTACTCTAAATTTAGCTAACCCTAACACTAACCCTAACCCCTAACCTTAACCCTAGCGTGCTATCTTTATACGTTGACATTATCAACTGGCCGCGTAAATCACCAAATCCCCCCATTTCAGGTTAGATAAGACCGAAAATCCAATGCATCTATGATACCTAACGCTCTTACTGCTTACCTTTCATGCATACGCGTTAATAGTAAATTAAGCAATTATCGGGTGTTTACTTGTTTGGTTGCGCATAGTGGATTGCATCGACTATATTTTTTTAATTGTCTCTCGAGTTTTTTTAAAAAATTTGGATTTCATTATTTGCATCATGTTAGTCAATATCAAACACTTTTAAAACTAAGATTCAGATATTGTTATTGTTGTGTGATTTATAATTTAATTATTTACGACTAGTTGTAAGAGGTAAAATGAAAATATTGAACAAATATTATAAAATATTAGGGCTATGTTTGGGGGACATAAGTCCCTGACTTCTAGCTTTTGTACTGTTCAAAAAGTTTCTAAAATCTTCTAGTTGTGTGTTTGACATGACAATATTTAAGAACTTTTCAAAAATTAAAAGATCTTTTTTGAGATGCTACCGGGAGTAGCATCTAAGAAAAGCTCGTGACTTTTAGTATAAATTAATCCTAACAGCTTGTATACCAAACCGAACTAAATCAAACAGTCAACTTTTTATCAAACAGCTACCACCTTTTCTTTTTAAAATCTTTTCAGTCACTAAAATCTAAGAGCTATTAAAAAGCCCACAAACGGCACAAAGTATCTTTTCAGTTGTGCCAAACATGCCTAGGACGATTACTAAAAAAGGAAGTAAGTAACTTTTTTTATGGCCTGGATCGAGGAGTAATTAGAGCCAAATTAAAGTAAAAAGACTTTTGATTTCGAATTACGATGTACTCCGTATAAGAGAATTATTAAGGGATAAACACTTAAATAAGACTAAAACAAAGGCTAGAAACTTAAATAAGACTGACAACTTTTTTATTCCTAAATAAGACTAACTTTAGAAGAAGGGACAAAAGTACCCCTTAGTACTCGTACATAACACAAACATCCACAGATCCACTCATGTTTTGCGATCTAAGAGGAAGCTATTGGAGAACACGTGGAGTATTTCTTCTCGTCGGTGCCCATATGCAGATGTGCGATTTTCGCTGCAGGTCCGCCGCAGCTCGTCGTCGGAATGGCCTGCCGCAGGTCGTAGCCGGAGTGCTCTGTCATTGGTCTTCTTCCTTTCTTCCGCCGATCTTATTTTCTTCCGCCTGTCTTCGAGCTTTCTTCCGCCATCTACTTTTAGTTTTCGCTGGGCCTAAACTTTTTTGTTTCCGTAGAATGCTTTTGTTTCCGCGATCTACCATATTATTCAGTGCATAGCCAAGGCCGGTCCTAGGGGGTGCCACAGGGGCGACCGCCCTAGGCCCGAAAAAATATTAGGGAAAAATAGGCCCAAAATTTCGTCTTTATACATAATGTGAGTAGGTTTCTTTTTTGTATTTAAGCTCAAGTAATTAGGCCTAAGGTTTAATTTTGTTGAAAATTTAATTTTTTAATACAAATGTTAAAAGGCACGCGGCCGGTCTCTTTGAGTAGTTAAGTCTCTATGGTTTATAATTCTTTTAATTACAAAATTACCAAAATATTTATTGTCTCTAACTCTCTATACATCACATGTGTCTCCCAAACTCCCAATTCATAAATCACCCCATCCCAAACTCCCAAACTCCTATACGGTGGTTTCCTTGTTCCAATTAAACTCAATTATCTAAGGAACTAAAGGGTTAAGATTTAATAAGGTTTTGACCGTCTACACAAGAGTAGACATTAGAGAGCGCCGCAAGCATGCAAGTAGCCATTTGCCAAAGCGGTCAGCGGTGAGGTGCCCAAACAGCAGCCGGCGACTAGAACACATTCTTCTGTCAAGGCTTCAAACAATCTGACAACGACCAGTAAATTATTCTTAATCTACTAGCTATGAATAATAAATCCACTAAATGTTCTTTTAATTTATGAATTATGATTAATGATTTATATGATGCATTTTTAGTATCTTAGTAAATTCATATTTGTGTGGTAGTGTGCAATTTTGAAATGGAATTCCTTATTTAGTTTTACTATTGTGAAGATTGGGAAAAAGAGAAAAACAGATAAATATTAGAAAATGCAGCCTTAAGTAAGAAGGGGGCAATGGAATTTTTTTTTGTTTTGTTAATAAATTGATTTCCGAAAATTCTTTTCAAGTTGAATCGCCGCTAAATTCTTTTGCGAATGAAAATCATTACATGCTTGGAAATAGTGATATAAGTGCAAAAGTCGCAAATATTGAAATTCAGCCAGATAAATGTAATTTAGGTGAAGAGAATAAACAAGTGGTGGGCCATGTTTCGTTGATCAATATTGAGAGATTACTTTGTATCTTAAATATAGGCCCAAGATAATATCTCGTCCATAGGCCCGAAAATCGACAGGACCGGCCCTGTGCATAGCCAATCAATTTTGAATTTACAGAAACTATATCGTTCGCAAGTCTGCTTTTTTGGCTTTTTCCTTCATATCTGAACCCTTCAAAAACATGGTGTTGCTCCATTTCTTGCAGTTTCTTCCACCTGCTTTCTATTTGCCTGAATGCTTTTTTCGTTTTGCTTTTGCGTTGTTTTGCTTTTGTTTCTTTTTCCTGTCTTATCTAATTTCCTTTTCAAATTGTTGACTTTTTATTTTTTAGATTCATTTAATTTGTCATTTGTCTTTGTTAGGTTGTTTGTAGTCAATGCTTAAATTAACCATTATACAATTGTGATAATTGTAAAAAGGATATCACATTTTATAAGTTTAAAATTTTACAATGTCAATAATGTTGGTTTCAAGGACTATCGTGAAAATGTAAAAAAATATTACAATGTCAAGATGTGAGAAAATGTCACATGTCACAATGTCAATAATGACAATGTCAATTCTATAAACCATGACATTGTGTTAACGTCAATGTCATTGTAATAAATATTTGAAATTGTTATTAATGTAATGTCATAATGTTGAAAAAATTGACAACATCATAGTGTTATTATAAACATGATCCCTTTTTATAGTAAACATTGTTAAAATATAAGATAAAATGTCACAATGTTCAAAAATAGCACAATGCCAAGAAAATGTCAGAATAAGCAATGTCGCATAAATGTCATATTTTATATATATAGAAATGTCACTATGCTAAATTACATTGTTACCATTTTCTTATAAAATTGTTATGACAATGTCATTGACATCGTTATTGACATTGTGATTAGAATTGTCTATGCACAATGACATTATCACGATGTCATTGTTATAATTTAGAAAAATGTTGTAATGTGAAAAAAGTTCACAATATCAAATAATGACAATAAGAATGCTATAAATAATGACATTTTAGTAATGATACAACAAAATGCTGAAGCTGATATCTGTCAGAATTTAGAAGAAATTTACAATGTCAAAAATATATCACAATATCAAATAATAGCAATGACTTTGAAAGTAGTGTGAAAATGTTGGGAAAATGTTACCATATCGAAAAACGTCAAAATATCAAATAATGACAAAGAAAATGTCAATAATAATGTTTTAAATAATGACATTATAGTAATGACAATGTTAACGTTGATGTCATTGACTATCGTGATGATGTCATTGCCATAATGACGAAGTATCACAATGTGTAATATTAGCTCTCAGTGTTTCAAAAATATTATTGATTACATCAATCACATTGTCCCAATGAAGGTAATGACAAATATTAAAAACAATGTCATAATTTGAAATAAATCCAAATTTGTTGACACTAATACTGATACTCTCACAATTAAGGAAATTAATTCTGAAATGAATCCAAAGATGTTAGACACTAATACTAATATTGAAAACAGTGTCACAAATTATTTCAAAAACTATTTTCTAAGGAAATTAAGCAGTAAATTATAATTTATATTGAATTGTAAAAGAAAAAGAAAAAATCAAAAAACAAAAAAGAAAAGAAAAACGAGAAAAAGGATCTCAAAGCAAGAATAGTGGATAGATGAAAAATACTACGTTGTGTGTAGATCTGGAAATTAAAACAGGAAGAAATTGAACCAAAACTTACTACTCCTATTTACATACTTAGTCATTGATTTAGTCCTATTTGAGTCTTATTCCCTATTTTAAAAACAATGTGATTGCTATTAAAATAGTACATTGTTTATATAGAAAAACATTATTGAAAATGTATTATAATATCTGTCACAATGTCAATGCTACATAAAAAATGACATTGCAATGACATTTTAATAAAATAATACTGTAGTGATTTAACAAAATTGAAGAAGTAACAATGAAAAACAATTAACAATAAAATTAAACGAAATAGAATTACATTTTATAAAAGGAATTTTCCAATACAAAAGAAACATTAACAAGCAAAACAAAAAAAACCAGCTGGAACAAAGAAGACCAAAACATGACTGAAGCATAACAAAAAAACAATCACACAAAAAAAAAATACCAAAATAACAATCACAACCAAAAAAGGAAGAGAAGAAGAGATCGTCGATCTGGAAACCAGAGGAAAAAGAGCAGCGACGGATGATAAGCAGGAGAGAAGGAGATGAAATGAAGAAGAGATCTGGAATATCTTCTATGACGCCGCCCTACACCTCGTCCTCATCGTCGATCGTCGATCGGGCCTGCCACCGCCGTGCAACTCCCCTGCCCCATCTTAATCGGCTTCTGCGTGCCTCCTCTGCTGTTCGGCGTAGCTATGGAGCCACTCCCTCGCTGGTACGAGAAAAAAAAAGGGCGAAGTTTGCCGGCAAAGAAGAGAACGGAAATGATAGATCAAGGGTAAAAGTGGAACCACGGAAAAATATAGTCCTATTTAAGTATAAAAAACATTGGAGTCTTAGAAGCTGTTCTCTTCGCCTGATCTGAATGTTTCTGATCTGAATTTTTTAAGTTCTGATCTGATCTGATCTGAATTTTTCTGATCTGGTCTGATCTGATCTGAATCTTTCTGATCTGATCTGATCTGATCTGAATCTTTCTGATCTGATCTGATCTGATCTGAATCTTTCTGATCTGATCTGAATGTTTCTGATCTGGTCTGATCTGATCTGAATCCTTCTGATCTGATCTGAATCCTTCTGATCTGATCTGAATCTTTCTGATCTGATCTGATTCAAATATTTCTATGATTATAATTATAATTATAATTACAATTATTATAATTGCAATTACAAATATAATTTAAAAAAAATTATAATTATAATTGTAATTATAATTACAATATTTATCTCTATAATTGTAACTATAGTTATCAATATTATTATAATTACTCCGTAAAATAATTACAATAGTAATAATAATAATAATAATATTAATTATAATAAAAATAATAATTATAATCATAAATTATAGTTATAATATAATTATAAGTATAATTATAATTATTATAATTGTAATTAATAATAATTATAATTATATTAACATTAATTATAATATTATAATATAATAATAGTAATATAAATACAATTAATATTATTATAACGATATTATTATATTAATATTTTTATTACAATAATATAATAATAATAATATGATTATTATTATAATTAGTATTATATTATTATAATATTATATTATATTTATAATTATAATCATAATTATAATTATGATTGTAATTATAATTATTATAATTATAATTAATTACAATTATAAATATAATTAATTATAGATATAATTATAATAATTACAATTGATTATACTTATAATTATAAGAATTATAATTGTAATTATAATTATAATTACATATAATTATAATATAATATTATAATAATATTAATCATATTATTATTATTATTATAATGTTGTAATAATAATAGTCTTCTTAACAATTGCATTTATATTACTATTATTATATTAAAATATTATAACTATTATAAATATCTTTTTATCATATTATTATTAATATTATTAATAATAATTATATAATAATAATCATAATAGTAATAACAATAATAATAATAATAATAATTAATATTTAATATAATAATAAAAGTGATAAATCATGTTTGAACTTTTCTGATCTGATCTGATCTGAATGTTTCTGATCTGATCTGAATGCTTCTGATCTGGTCTGATCTGATCTGAATCTTTCTGATCTGATCTGAATCTTTCTGATCTGATCTGATCTGATCTGAATCTTTCTGATCTGATCTGATCTGATCTGAATTTTTCTGATCTGATCTGATCTGATCTGAATTTTTCTGATCTGATCTGATCTGATCTGAATAAAATAAGAATAAGCAATAAGTAATAAGAATAAGACGAACAGAACAGCACCTTATTTAAGTCTATTAGGTAAGCTACGGTCCTATTTGAAACCATTTCTCAATTATTAACATGCCTATAATTCAATATGCTTAAAGTGTTGATATGAAACCACTTGGAATCTGCCGTGGATCTTGATAAATTTCCTAAGGAGGTGTAGTTATGATGTTTTTAATTGAATTAGTTTCAGTTTGAGAATCAGATTAGACATAAATAATAGAAAAATACATATAAAATGTGCATTTGTCGTATATAAGTTTAGATCAATCTAAATCAGAATGGACCAAATCAGACTTAAATATATCATATCAAACCAAACTTAATTTAAATAGACTAAACTAGAAAATTGGATTTCAATTAAAAATACATTCGGTAAAATGGGTAAAGTAAAATATGTCCACACCATTACATTAACTCATTATTAGAAGGACATGTACATAAGTAACATAAATGTTTTCTTAGTTGTTGTAATCCTTTTTATCAATAAATTTTATCACATTATTATTTTATTATTTTAGGAAGAAATAATGACAAACATATGATCTAAATAAAGATAATGAATAAAAATATGTCTTATTTTATAGTTTAATGATTACCATGATAACTTTAGTGAGTATGGTCGGTTGTATTCAACTCTACACTATAATAATTATACATAGTAATTGGTAATACTTTTACCTGTTAATTATATTTAAGTAATATTTAAGATAAACATCTTTTAGGAAAATCCCATACTATTAAATTCAGCTAATGTGTAGACTTGTATAATTTCAATTGGTGAATTATAGGACTGAGCTTAATACATTGAGCTTTATAACAATTCAAAATCAAGTCCACACCCTGACACCTCACACCCCATTGATAATGTTAACATTTTATCCGGAAGAAAACATCCCATGATTATATGGAAAAAATACCATTTTTAACACGTTATCCGGATTTTTGCCAAAAAAAAAAACGCGTTATCCGGATTTACATATTGGAATGAGATTATGGAAACATTTCTAGTTATATTGAAATGAGATTAAGTCGGTATTTCTAGATAAAATGTGGCTGCCTTGAGCATTAGAGGGCATTATTGCATTGATAAGTTTTCTGTCATTTACGATAACTATTTCACGCATAAAGTCCACTTCTTACAATGAAGCAAATACTTTGATTTGTTTACAAAAATGTCACCCCATGTTTTATTCACTTCAATGCATTTTGGACATATTTAGCTCATTAAATCTTAAATGTAATGCACCACATTCATTCCTACACGGGAAGACTTATTAAATTGGGACTTTTATAAGTTGTAGCGGTATGAGTATGTAATGCATAGGTATATGCGAAAATTTTATTAGGCCCGTCACGGGCTCCTTAGTGAGCACGTAGTAGATTCCTCACATCGTATCTGTTTTATTAATTACGAAGTATTATTTCGCCAAAAAAAATTACGGAGTATTATTTTGTTTAAGTTACCCATGTTACATTACGATTTACTGTTTGTGTTCTTGGGTATAATTTTTATTAGACCAAGTAAAAAGTAATGATGTTAGTAGTAGTGGACTTGATTTATCTTATGAATTATTTAAAATATAAGTTTAAAATATATTAAAGAAACTAATTAATATCTAAAAACAATGGTTATTAAGATTCTATTTTCATTACTTTGAGGTAGGGATGGACCCGGTCCCAGTTACGGTTTCGGTCCCGGATCGGCCGGTCCCGATTCCGGCTTTGCTCCCAGACCGGTTGGTCCCGGTCTCCCATAGTTAAGTCCCCAATCGACCCAGAACTATACATACGGGTCACGGTCCCGAGCCGGTTCAGGCCTTATTTGATTTCTTTTAATAAATAAGAAATGCTATACATTAAAAAATGAAATGTATATTTATTTCGAACACTACATTGATTTTGAATATTGCACATTTATAAATTACAATCGAAACTTTAAATACATGAACTAATCGTTGGAACGCTTCCGAGGTCGATTGTCGTTTCCTCCATGAAGTAGCGGTCCGGCACTAATTATATTGAGCATAAATATATTTAATATTCTTATACTCTAATGTATATACTTTATATTATATATTTAAATATAAGTCATTATAATATTATTTAAATATAAGTAGATATAAATACATATAATCAGGATGTAGAGAGAATTAAAGAATAAGAGTAGAGAGTAATAAAGAGAATTAGAGAATAGGAATATGAGAGAATAGGTATATGAATTTTTAGAAATAGGAGGTATTTATAGGTTTTTTTTAACCCCAACCAGACTGGACCTCCAGCGGGTCCATCCCTACTTCGAGGCATTTCGTCAAAAATACAACTTCTGCAATTTAAAAAATTGCATACACAATGACATTCAATCTCATAATAATCAAGCTAAAAACTTTTTCTATGAATAATTAATATTGAAATTAGGGAAAACTATCAAATAAGCCCCCATACTATACCTAAAAAGTCGATTAGGCCCTCGTACTTTACAAACACTCAATTAAGTCCTCGAACTATTAAAAAACGTTCAATTAAGCCCTTTTGGTCGGTAAGTAACCGGTTTCCCGTTTAAATGTAACTCGTTTCCCGGCAGCCGCCGTTGCTGGGGTTCGAGCACATCATCGCCGTCGTCGCCGTTTAACCGGGAAACCGGTTACTTACCGACCAAAAGGACTTAATTGAACGTTTTTTAATAGTTCGGGGACTTAATTGAGTGTTTGTAAAGTAAGAGGGCCTAATCGAATTTTTTGGCATAATACGGGGGCTTATTTGACAGTTTTCCCTTGAAATTAAATAATCCGGTAAATAACCCATCATAATCGGTAATTATGATGCATACAGGTTATTTAATCATCGGTAGTTAATATGAAAATCAAACTTTAATAACCATTATTTTTAGTTATCTGTTTCTTAAATATATTTATACTCCGTATATTTTAAACTTGTTTTTTAATTTTTAAATAATCCATTAGATGAATCAAGTCCACTACTAAACAACATTACTTTTTAGTTGGTCTAATAAATAAAAAGTACCCAAAACCACAATCAGTAATGCAATATATAGGTAACTTAAACAAAATAATACCCCGTAATTAATAAAGTAGATACGTATGATATAAGGAATCCACTTACGTGCTCACTAACGAGCCTGTTACGGGCCTATTAAAATTTCTGAGGTATATGAGCCTACTGACACTTTGCTGACTGAGTCACCGTGATTTATATCCTCCATATGCCTTGTCGCCTTGTCGGGTCTGAACGTGGGGGCTGAGGCTCTGAGGGTGGGAGATTCCACCTTTTGGATAGTTAAAGTTGAATTTGTTTATGAACATTATACGAAGTATTATGTCAAAATATGATTCTTGTTAGATACTGAATCATGTTTAATTTAATGGCTAAAGGGTCAAATAGGCCCTTGAACTAGCTTAAAGTGTTCAATTAGCCCCTTTTCTAGGAGGTTCTGCCCGAACGTCGCCAATTGGAGAAGTTCCCGGATGAATTTTTCGATGAATTTTTTTGAGAATCTTATTCATTAAGTCTAGTTTACCCATACCAAATTTCAGCTACAAATTCAACCGGGAAGGCAGTCAAATGATTTTTTGAAGATAACTGCGCAGTTAAACAACCCAGTACACTTCGGAAAATCATTTGACTGCTTTCCCGATTTAATTTTTAACTAAAATTTGATATGAGTAAACTAGACTTAATGAAGAACATGCTCAAAACGTTTCATCAAAAAATTCCACCGGGAACCCCCCCAATTGACGATGGTTGGGCTGAACCTCCTATTTAAGGGGCTAATTGAACATTTTAAGCTATTTCAAGGGCCTATTTGACCCTTTAGCCTAATTTAATTGATATGGTGGTTTTGACTAAATATGTGTTAGAAAAGTTGATTACCTCATGATGTGACACT